CCTCGTCAGGAAGACTAACATCCTTGTATACACGCAATGTCCCTGGCTCAGACCTCAAAAGGTGGATCACCCGAGTCATCTGTAAGGCCTGGAGCAGAGACTGGCTATAGGGTGTCCCCGAATGTCTAAGCACGACTTTGGAACACCCCTGCTTGTTTCAGATGACGTTTAAACAGCTGATTATCACGCTGAATCATTGTTTACATTTCGACCAACAGTTTCGTGTATCGCAAGTGTCGGTTATTTACATTTCCGTCACAATGCGAAGCATTTCTCCGGAAAAGCGCAAACAGATCGTGCACAAATGATGTACTATCCCCAACATTTCTCTGAGTCAATTAGCGAAACTGGAAGGTGTAAGCATCGGAGCCGTTCGAAACGCGATTCGGAAGTATGGTGATAAATCAACTATCCAGGACAAGCAAAAATCTGGACGTAAACCGAACCCTGTTGACCGAAATCTAGACCGGAAATTCGTGCAAGCTTTCACTCGCAAGAAAAGTGCTTCGGTCCGTGACGTGGCTAAAAAAGTGGGATCTTCGAAGAGTAGCTTCCAGTGGGCCAAGGAAAGAATGGGGCTGAAGACGTATGAGAAGCAGAAGAAGCCAAAGCGGAATGAAAAACAAGCCGCATCCGGCGAACCGATGGCTCGGAAGTTATACAACCAATTGCTGTGTGGATAAGCGGTGTGCGTGATTATGGACGATACGTGATACGTGATTATGGACGATACGTTAATTTGCTTACAAAACTCTTCCTGGTGATCAGTACTACACCGTTCGTGATGGCCTTAACGACGCGGATAAGTCGATTTTTACCCAAAAATTCGGTAAAAGGCTATGGTTTGGCAAGCCATTTGTGAGTGTGGTATGCTTTCCAACCCGTTTGTGACAACGGAGACAATAACAACCGATATTTACGTCCGTGAGTCTGTTACCCATGATCCGAAAACACGATGCCTCAGTACTGTTTTGGCCGGATTTGGCGTCGGTTCATTACTCCAAGGACACGGTAGCCTGGTATAAAGCCTACAAGGTCCAATTCGTACCCAAGGAGATGAATCTGCCAAACTGTCCCCAGGCCAGGCCAATCGAAACTATTTGGGTCCTGACCAAAGCATATTTGCGGAAACATGTAAAGGCTGCGGATTCCGTTACAAAGTTTGCGAAAGAATGGGAAAAAGTATCCAAAATTGTTGGAAAGGCATCTGTGCTGAAGCTAATGAATAGCGTGAGATCTAAAATCCGCTCCTTGGCTTACGACTGCTAGGATCTCGGATTTTATACGTTTAACTGTAAGAGAATACTATAGAGAACATGAATACGAAATAAAAATCGAATTTGCCGTTATCGTTTTTTTTTTTTATCGTGCTTAGAAATTTTGGGACAGCTCCCGGGATCTATAAATCCGCAATCAAGGGAGATACACACCATTGGGACGACCCAGCTGACCACTGCTCCCTAGTCGTTCTCTCCAGACTGAGATCCGGACACACCTATCACTCTCACAACATCCTGTAAGTCCTGCCCAGCATGCCGAACGTTTGAGCATTTCGTCTATACGACATTCCCGGCAGCATCCGGGACGCACTCAGTGACGACCCCAGCCGCGCTCTACTGAGCTTCCTCCGAGATGCAGGCCTATTTTGCCGGATTTGACCTCCACCTGACTGGTTTGGCACCGCCGGTAATGGACCTCTCAACGATGTATTGTCCGTCTAAATGCCCCTAATGTGGGCCCATACATAAATTCAGCAATCGACTAAAATTTCAATAGCGACCAAAAATATCTATTAGTACCGTCCCAATGACGCGTTCATCTAGATAAAATTGATAAATAGCAGATTTTTAGCGATGGGCCCAATCTCAGATCCATACGCCAACATTAGAGCCATTTCTACTACATTTAAAAGCCAATATCTAATTAAAACTAACTGGATGCAGGATGCAGAATTCAGTAAAGTTGTTACTCATTGTTTGAACTACAAGTTTTGAAAATCTTAATCAAATCAATAATAAGGACACTTTTTATAATCCAAAGAGTATAGGAGTGTAATTTTTCATGTATTTTATTCAAATTCCCAATACAAAATTCATACTTAAAGCGCCAACTCATCTTACTACTAAATGTGCTGAAGAGAATGGTTTTTTCGCCTTGTAATCCGCCAGCCTGTCGAGCTTCGCTTTTAGTTAATCGCTACTCCAAAAGGAGACCACCTAACAAATTAATGTGTAGTAAAACTATGAGATCTTCCTTGGGAGGGTAAATTTTCCCGAAAAGGGAAAGGAAGCTGACTGGCCAATTTAAATACGTCCACTGTACATCACGTGACACGTGTGGCTGCCACTAATCCTGTAAGGCTGTTAACAGAAATGACCAAGTATCAGAAGCTCTCACCGGCCCAGCCTCAAAATCCCAAGAAGTTCTGACCCGTTTCCGAATAGAGAGCAGTCTAATGGCCAGGGTCGGGCTGACTCCCCAGTAACATCAAATACCAAATACAAAAACTAATATCGAACACGGAGCATGAACATGAAAACCCTAACAGAAATTAACAAAAGAACTTTGAAAATTGTACAACGGATTATATTCAGTGTAGGTGAAGGAGGGACATAGTGAACAGGTGGGGCATAGTGAGCTTCCTGTGCGTTAGCCTTGAATTTCTTATGGTTCGATTGGTCATTAATCATTGTAATGGTAATATTGAACTTACTACCAATTAATTTGTTTCAAACAATTAGAGGATTGGTACTGGATTAAGGGATGCTCATTGTGCCCCTCTTACCCCAACATATACGGAAAACGGTTGATTGGGAAACATTTGTACGGTTCTACATAATATAAGGCTCCCCTATCATTTCAACGCTATTATAATCTTCAATTAGTATTCACTTTGTCGGTGGATCCACACTCCGACATTCATCTAGACCCGTTGAGCAATGAGCATACGGGCTAGATAAGTTTGTGCCACTACGAGTCACATGACCATGGACGACAAAACATGGATAATATGGATGTTTTTAGTACTCACGACCTAGGATTTTCTTGCTGAGGCGCGGAGGCCGGCGGTGGTATCGAAGCTGCGTGGCGCACTACTTCGGTCCGGAAACTATCATATGTGAATGTCTTAAATTCCTTCATGCAATATATCTTTCTTCCAGATGAGAAAATTAAGCGCATTTTCCCAGCAACAACGCAAGCATTATAAAACATCTAAAACTTGTACTAAGAGGGAATCTGCAAATGAATGTCTCATATAGGCGAAACCACATCTATGACAAACATACTTTTGAATATAAAAACCAATAAATGATCCATAACAAATTTAAAAACACTCCTTAAAAACACCCAAATGATCTATAAAACCCCAGTGAAAATCCCTTAAAATGTGTGAATGATTCATAAAAATATCAATATGATCCATATTTTCAGTCAAATGTAGCAACACAATTGTAAAAATGTACCGTTAAATATCTTATGAATGAGCATTTAAATTGTAAGAATAACCCATACACAAATTGCAAATGATCCTTAAACTAATGAAAGTGATCCATAGAAAATAAAGTTTGCGCTCTTAAAAATATAGGCATGATCCATAAATTAGACATATACTGTTCATGGTTTGGACACTAACTTTTCGATTTTGTTCCATAAACCTTGAAAAGATGTTCCAGTACTACGTAGCTGACGTAGTACTGGAACTGACGTAGCTGACGTAGCTTAGATTTACTGACATACCCGTGTTTTTGAGTTAGAAATGCGAAGCAACGGGTAAGCGTCTAGAATTAGCTTCCAAAAAGAGCTTCTATAATAATCTTTTCAACACTCTGAGACGATGCCTCTGGTCAAATGTGTAACGGCAAACTGGTAATGTCTGAAAAATCATAGCTCAAATATTTATTGACGAATTTCATATATATGTGGGTGCCATTTGAAACTAAAGACTTCAAAGACTTATTCGGTATGAATAGGTTTAAAATCTATTGATAAATTGCTGAGTAATGATTTTTCAAACATTACCAATTTGCCGTTACACATTTTACCGGTTGCATCGTGTTCGGAGTGTTAAGAAGCATCCTAGGGAATATTGTTTAGAAGTTTCTTTTAGATGCTTATTCTAGATGCTCTCTAATCACTCCGCTCTTCTGACACGGGCAGAACAGTAAACCAGAGTAGCTACGCAGTAATGAGGCAATTTTCCAAGGTTAATGGATCAAATTAAAAAAAAAATAGTGTCCAAACCATGAACAATATATGTCTAAATTATGGATCGTGCCTATATTTTTAAGTGCGCAAGCTTGATTTTCTATGGATCACTTTCATTAGTTTAAGGTTCATTGCTGAATGTTTTATGGATCATTTGCAATATGTTTATGGGTAATTCGTGCAATTTAAAATGCTCATTCTTTAGAAATTTAGCGATACATTTTTACAATTGTGTTTCTAAATTTTACATAAAATATGGATCATATTGATATTTTTTAAGGATCACTAACACCTTTTAAGAAATTTGCTGCGGTGTTTTATGGACCATTTATATGTTTTTTAAGGAACGTTTTTCAATATTTAATAGATCGTTTTATCAATTCTAAAGGTGCATTCTAAGGGCTGCCCAAATCTATTACTATGTACCAACCCTGGCACCAAGACATCATAACTCATGTTTAAAAAACAACATTTAAGAGCAGATGCGACGTATCATTGCATTCCAATTCCTCTCAGTAAAACGATAATCAGTATATTGCGATCTCTCAACCTCCGTGTAATTCGATGTAGCCAAAATCCCATCAAATTCAATCCCTTGTGTTGGTGTGACCCACTGAGCCAACTCGGTACCTCTATAAGGTCAACAATCAGTAGTAAAAACAAAAACAAACCGTTAACAACACTCACTATCAGCGTGATCTTCCACAGCGGAACAGTTTCCCAAATTAACCATCACATCCTATACTCAACCCTAAAGCACAATTACTCCATCATCGGTGTACACAGGTACTTACGTTGAAATCCACTTGAAACGATTCCACGCGCAGTTCATCGCGCTGGCTTTTGCTTAGCCCACCGATCAATCGCAAACACTCGTCGATGCAAATTCCACGATCCAACAGGTTGTGCCGATAGTGGCGTACGTCCTCACTAAAATTCTGTTATCGGAAGATTTTGTGTGATTTTCAACTTATTACACCAATGTCATCTAACCTGAATTTGCTGCCATAATCCGCTGGAGAAACGAGGCTTCACTAGGCTCCGGACCATGCAATAAGTACTTCCTTGCTTCAAACATCTGCCATAGTCGTCGTACTGATGCAGTTTCGGCATGGAACTGTAATCGAGCTCTTCAGTACAAGAGGAAATGCAGAATCAGTTTCAATTTACACTTGATTATATCCCAAACACTCATCACCTGCAGCATCCCCCGGAACGTGACTAAGGTCACAACAGGCAAAGGGAATAACTACGGACAACAACGCGATGTAACCGAAGATGACCCCAGTTGCTTTCCACATGGCGCTCGGGCTAGAACTGCGCCGCCACGTTTGGACCGCTACCGCTACATCTCTCGTCTTCGGTATCTCTTCTGGACGCAACAGCTTCCTACCACCACGCACATAGGAACCAGCCAGAATGAAAAAAAGAGCTATTAAAGAAAGCATATAGGCAGGTACACAACAATTCTTATGAATTGGTGGTGCTTAACCTGTCGGAATGCAGTAGCTGATGATCCAGGGTTGGCACGGCCGTATCACAGAACTTTGAAACTAGGAGGTTGTAAGATATGTAAATTTACCATTTGATGCCCATACTTATTCATCACATTTGAGATATCGATACACAATGATAAAAAAGGATAAATACTCGAATCATAATTATAGTACACAAGCCACGAACGGGTGCATGGGTTTCCCAACTAATATTTTGCGAAACAAAAATAGCACCATCAGTTGTATCCTATTTTTTCAGAATAATAATTAGCAATCATCTAAATTACTATTAATAAATTTTTCGGAAATAAGTGAAGGATCAAACCAGGCTAACATTATTTTGAATTTTAGGAACGATTTAAATTACAGCACTAGAAAATTAAAAAAAAAAAAGAACGCAAAATACAAAAAACACATAACTTTTAATCAATGTAAGCTTTAAAAGCATGGCCCACGTAGAACAACATCATTTGGGTCTATTTCTGATTTGAAATAACGGATTTAAAAACGGTCTAATCTGCTGTTTTAGCGATTTTATCCCACCAATGTGACTGGATGAATGGCTTCTTCTGGAGACATTCGGTTTTGTAAACCTCCGAGTTAATCATTTTCTGAGTGACGAGAAGCCGGCGCCGGTGGTGTAGTGGTAAGCGTGACTGCTTTCTAACACCCCAATGGGTCTGGGTTCAATCCCAGTAGAAGTCGGTGGGATTTTTCTGAGGCATAAAAATCTCTGGTCACGTCTTCATTCGGAAGGGAAGTAAAGCCGTTGGTCCCGGCCCATGTGTGTTGTGAATGGGTGCGATATCCTACGCAGGTGTGGAAGCTGCCTTCCTGCACATTCTATTGTCGTCAATGGATGGCAATCGATGTCCGTCGGTGATTGGTACTAGATTGCGGAACAGAGACCGACGTTAAATAAAGGAAAGAAGAAGAAGAAGAAGAAGAAGAAGAGTGACGAGAACCTTTTTTTTCTGGCCGCAGTTGCTAATTCCCCGCAAAACAAATTTGAATCTGCCAGGGACACCTCCAAGAGCCTTTCCCCTTGTAAACTGTTGGTCCTGGAAGCTGTCCGAAGTGCCGACTGTAAATAGGTTTCATCATCCATAAGTATGCTCCCACCGGACTTGGGCAGCAGTTTGTCATACAGCCTTCGAGCACGGGTTCTAGCCTAGGTATTCTGCTTGAGTGATCGATTTGGTTGCCTACTAGCGCGGTATGCCTGTAAGCTTTCGCAGTAGCGAATTCGCTGCACTGTACCACGGGAGGCATCATACTTTTTACTCAAATCCCGATCGCACCCAAAGTAACCAAACGATTCAGGACAGTCCTATACAAGTTCTAGAATTCACGAAATTTCCGAGGACGCTGAGATGCGTGAAACAAATCAACGAGGCACAGAAGCTAGCGGCATCACTAACAGTGAACCTAGTGAAAGCTGCAATACTACTGCAAATGTTGAGGTATGTTTTCACAATGCTGATGAGTGTCCTCAAGAAAGTAGTGAAACAAAGAATATTGGAAATTCTGCGTTGTACGCCTTATGCTCCGAATCAAATTCGAGTTTGAATAAAGATGCTTTTCTTGGACATCGACCAAAACTAAAATAGGTGCCAACAACAAAAGGAAAAACGATGCTCTACGTGGCATCCGCATATTTTCCCGGCGATATTAAAGATGCACCTCCTCCAGAAGTTGGAGTGTTCGTCTCTCACTGCAGAAGCCAAAATAAGGCTTTTATCATCGGATGTGATGCAAACGCTCATCATAAGATATGGAGCAGCTCCGGAATCAACAAAAGGGGTGAGTGTCTATTTGATTTCATTTCACAACATAATATTGACATATCAGTGCCAACATTTCAAAGGGGCGTAATTGATTTTGTAAACAATGGCTTTAGCTGCCGATTTCTCGCGAATAAAAGCTCACCCCTCTAAATCAATAATACTAGCTGTTAGAGGAAACATTCATCTACCTGCTAGTGTTATTAATTTTCATGAGTGTGCTCTTATTCGCGAGGAAACGACGGCTAAAGTCATTATTAACAAATGCAATTACGCCTCTTTGAAATGTTGGCACTGATATGTAACAAAGGGAACTCCCCGACATTTGTTAATGCGATAAGGGAAGAAGTTTTGGACCTTACTCTTTGTAGTTCAATACTTTCTGATCGCATCAGACAAAATTTTTTTATCTGACCATAAACAAATTATGTTTGAATTTAAGGCTAATGATATACTGAAGCAGGTTTATAAAGATCTTCGTAAACAAACTGGGAACTATGCAGCACAAATATGAAGAGTCAACATGAACCCATTTTCAATAATATTGATACCATTACAAAGCTGGAAAAAGTTGCTAATGACTTAATAACTAATATGAATCAGGCTTACAATGTCAGTTGTAGGACACAAAGGAGCGCTCGACTAATAGAGATGTTTCCTGGTGGAATGATAGATTAGAAAAACTACGGAAAAAAGCTAGGAAACTATTCAACTGTGCAAAATCTACTTCAAACTGGTCTCAATATAAAGAGGAGTTAACTGAATATTACAGAGAAAAAAGAAGATCCAAGCGGAAAGATTAGAGACACATGTGTGAAAACATAGAAAACACTCCTGAAACTACAAGACTTCAAAAAGTTCTATCAAAAGATCATTCTAACGGTCTTGGAACACTTAAAAAGACGGACGGACATTTTACTAAAAACTCAAATGAAACTCTGGAACTGATGATTCAAACCCATTTTCCAGGGTCCCTTCCTACTGATGATCAACTACAAAATCATGATTGCATGCAAAATGCCACATCTTCAGACCGTGGTTAACGTGATAGATCTACCGAAACAAATGTCTCACTATGTGGGCTAGAAATGTCAAATGAAGAGGCTGAAAACTTTGCCATTAGAATTTTTACAAACTCTAGAATTGAATGGGCGATAGATTCTTTCAGTTCTTTCAAATCCCCTGGCCCAGATGGAATTTTTCCAGCACATATTCAAAATTGTAAATCTATAATAATTCCTGTTTTAGTTAAATTTTTCATGTCTAGTTTCTTATTGGGATACATCCCAAAAAATGGAGACGAGTTCGAGTGGTATTCATACCAAAAGCAAACAAAAGAGATAAATCTTCATCAAAATCATTTAGACCAATAAGCCTGTCGTCAATATTTTTGAAATTAATGGAAAAACTCATAGATGAATACAGGCATGGAAAATCATTTGCATTCATTTCGTGCATTCATTTACATTCATTTGCCTCTAACTTTTTTTTTCAACAGCATTCCGTAAAATGACGTGTACAGCTTTTGTAGGTTTTGTTATAAGCTACAACTTTTGTAAACAAGTAAAATCCGTATCTCTTATGTATCACAAACTAGAGCGGCCAGAACTTGTTACTGTTTTTCAATGAATGTAAAATACATTCACTGAAAAATAGTAGTGGCTTCTGTTTGCTCTGCTTCGTCATACATAAGAGATACGGATTTGATTTGTTAACAAAAGTTGTAACTAATAACAAAACCTACAAAAGCTCCATACATCATTTTGCGGAATGCTGTTGAAGAAAAAAGTTAGAGGCAAATGAATGTAAATGAATGCACGAAATGAATGCAAATGATTTTCCATGCCTGGATGAATATGTTAAATCAGAAATACTTCTTAATATACCATTATGTAAGACACAATTTGCTTACCAGTAAGGCAAGTCAACAATAACAGGTCTTCATACTCTTAGAAAAATCCTTTGCGGCTAAGGACATTCTACTAGCAACGTTTCTTGATATTGAAGGTGCATTTGATAATGCATCTTTCACGTCGATGATAAGCGCCATGAGAAATCGTGGTTTTAATAAAAACGTAATCAACTGGGTTGTAGAAATGCTATCCAAAAGAGAAATATCAGCTTATCTAGGAGATTCAGTAGTGAAAGTAACAGCTGTAAAAGGCTGTTCTCAAGGAGGTGTTCTTTCTCCCCTTCTGTGGTCTCTAGTTGTTGATGACCTTCTTTTAAAACTAAAGCATCAAGGATTCGAAATAATTGGGGTTGCGGATGACATTGTCCTTATAGTCCGTGGAAAATTCGATAAAGTTGTTTTCGACAGAATGCAAAAAGCATTAAAATTCACACTATCGTGATGCAAAGATGAGGGATTGAATGTCAATCCTACAAAAAAAAACTATTGTACCTTTTACTAAAAGACGTAAAATCTCTGTAACTGATCTTAAACTAGGAGACGTAAAGCTGTCACTATCTTTGGAATTAAAATTTTTAGGAGTAACTTTAGATAGTAAACTCTGCTGGAACAAACATATCGATCAACAAATAGGAAAAGCAACAAATACTTTTTGAACCTGCAAAAGAACGTTTCGAAAAAAAAATGGGGTCTGAAGCCAAATATGATACACTGGATAAACTCGGCCATAGTTAAACCCAGGATTACCTACGCCTCACTTATATAGTGGCCGAAAACTAAGCAACAAACGGCACAAGTCAAACTAAACAAGCTACAAAGGCTTGCTACTATTTCCATAACTGGAGCAATGCGCAGTACTCCTTCTACAGCCTTAGATGCTTTACTCAATTTCCTTCCTCTTCATCAATATATTCAACTGGATGCAGTGAAAAGTGCTCTAAGGCGGCTCAAACGGTCCATGAATTTTTTCGATGGAGATCTTATTGGACATTTGAGCATTCTAAAAAAGTTTCAGATAAGTCCATTAATATTGATGAACGAAGATTGCATGCTAAAGCGACATTATTTCAACCATAATTTCCAAGTTCCTGATGTGACTCGCGTTGACTGGGTTGCAGGAAGACTGAATATTAGTCCTGCATCAGTAATTTTCTATACAGATGGATCGAAACAAGATAAT